CCTGCAGCGTTTTTTGACCCTGTCCCACTTGGAACCCATGGAATTCTATTGAAATTCAAGAGGCCAATTGCACTATTTGGTTTTGTTCACCCGCCAAGGGGCGCTCCTTTGAACAGGCCTTCGGCCGTCTTTTCGACGTCAGCGTCTTCCCTCACGATCCTTGGAGGCGGACAATTGACAGCTCAGGATAAATCTCATGGCTGCAATTCCAAATAAGATCTAAGCCTAAACTTTCTGAAGAAATTGGACACAAACAACTGAAGGCAATGCCAGGAAACAGAAGGAATCAGTCAACCAATCGCTCAGTCAAAGCAGGCTACCCTTCACATATACTGAAATAGTTGCAGGTGTATTCACATGTATTTACCAGTTAGTACTGGCATCTGTCATATATGCCAACCATTTTCAGCCATTCAATGTCACTGTGAATGTCAATCTTACTGGACTTCTTTCTTGCCAAATTGTATCTGGGTCATGGTGGAATCAGACGCATGCGACCTAGGGAGGACCAGACCCTGGAGTGAGGACGGACCAGTTGGAGAATATGTGCAGGGTATCTAGAGATATTGTGAGATATTCTTGATTTGCCGCAAACGTCCACCGTACCTCCAAAAAGAATGCTATCGAAAGCCATCTGGAACAATGAAGCTTGATGCATTTCTGGAATTGCATCCTGCTATGTTCGTCTCTCTCTCTTTCTCTCTCGACACTTCTCCTGGTTTTTCTTCATTGAATGACTCCCGGAATCGCCCACGCTGCTAGCCTTTTCCAGCAGATCATATCTAGGCCGCAGAGGGGTCCGTAATTTCGGCAAGGTTGCCTTGGAATCTTCGCGTTTTGGTTCAAAACACACGCTTGTCTGCAAGATCGCCCTGGGGTGCTGTGTCTTGTTATGTCTGCTTGGCACAACAATGTGTTGTCTGGACACTTCACGAACAGGCATTCACAATCACATCCTCTCCGGCTGTTGAAATCATATGGGTAGAAACGCAGGAACCGGATCTGGAGATATCTGGAGGGTCGTCATCTAAAACGGCCACCCGAGTTTGTTTTTGAGGTATAAACCGTATAAACCCCACAAAGCCGACCAGCTCGAGGGCGTAGATCAGGGCAGCAAGTAGAAGTAACCACCGGCCATGCATGCCACTGGACCATGCGAACCAGTTCTGAAAGAAGATCAAACCACTCAAACTCCCGTGCAAATACCTGCGGGACATCCCAGCTGATGCCTTGTCTAACATCAAGTGCTCCACACCAAAGTGGCCATGCCCCACTTTGCACATCAACATGTTGGTGCCTGTTGCCATGAGCACCACTGGCAGCAGAACAGGCACCAAGGCTCCCCAAAGCAAAGCTACTTCAGCCCAAGTCACCAACAAACTTGCTTGCTGACCATGTTCCAAGGAAAGACTGGTACAAATCAGATTGCGCCACATGTAGAGCTGCCCTCCTTCCCGATACGACATTTGCCACCTGGGGAGCATTGAGCATGGCTTGACAATGCTTGACAATGCTTGACAATGCTTGACGTCCCTGACAAACATGTGACTAAGGCTAAGATGGGCTAAGATAGGCTGAGATCCCAGGACCCTCCACACCACAAGTCTCAAGAAACAATGCATGAAGCAACAGAACAACACAGAACAACATAACATCATCATCTACATATTATCCACATATCATCTACATATATCTAGATCATCCTGGTTGTGTTCAATCAAAACAGCACCTGAGCAAGGTGATGATGGGCTGCAGGAAGGCACGGGTGACCATCTTCGACACCAACAAAGGTGCCATGGTATTGATCACGGCACGTGGACATGCACTGTCACTCCACCAAGACTCCTTTGCTGAACACAGGTCCGCTTTGGGCTCAAGAATCGAGTGGTCACCCAGACTGATGTTGAAGAGCTTGTAGTCTTCTGTGCTTTCATCGCAAACCTGGTTTGGGTGTTGACCCACCCCCAAAATTATGAATCACTGCCTGTGTTATTTGACATGGATGGTACACATCAAAAGGATCCAAAAAGTAGTTCTGCGCGTGTGCGCAAGAAAAGAAGAAATGTTGCATGGGCCTGCCCCGCACTTCATATCTAGAGCCGTGTCATGCGTCGTCATACTAGCTGACACAATGGGATACAATGATATCAACATATATCAACTATACAAGGCAAGTTGGCGATGGTGCACAAAGCCTGGCAACTTTCCAAAAATGGGTCCAGCCGTTCATGCAGTTGGTGGTCAGATAGAGTGTGCTCAGCACGGCAGCTAACCACATCGTCCCCAGACGTGCAGCCATCAACAACATCGATCTGCGCAAGCCAGTGGCATCTGAAAAAAATGCCACCAGTTTGGGGGTAATAAACATGTCCACCAGGACCATGACCAAAGCAGCTTGGTAATGAAAAAACTTCAGCCACCAAGCCGACAGCTTCAGGGTATTGTTGAAAGGGATGGCGCTCACCACTGCATATGCTACAGAGGGGAAAGATAAAAGGGCCACAATGCACAACCAACAGCAACTGTAGATCACTTTCAGAAGAAATGCCGAGCGGGATGTTGTCTCCTCCGCACTGGGAGTGGGAGCACGTCGCAAAAAGCAGGCACCAACTGCAATCCAACAAGTCCACAACCCTGCCACAGACCATTCCACCAACGCATTGCCATGGTAAGGGTTCGAAAAATTGCTCAGCGTAGAGGATGAAAAGCCAATACTACAAGCGTAGTATCGTGCATTGGCAAAGTAAAAGGCAAAGAGAACTACAGCCAGAACTGACAAAGTGGCACCCATTTCAAGGAGAAACATGTGTGCTTTCCTTGTCTGTTTCGCGCCCGCTTTTGACAACAAAATGTGGCGAAGCCCACTGCTTCCAACCAAAAGCAACAAGCACAATGCGCTCGTTGATGCCAACAACAGCATCCTTTTCAAGATTTCACTGGACTTGTTGTCGGATAGGTAGAGAAAAGGTTGATGTTCATCAGTGTGTATCCACTGCGGCAATGCATGGCTTCCATTCCCCAACATGTTTCCAATCAATGTGATCGAACGCATGTGATCGGGGTAGCTGGTCACGTCTTCTGGTAAGCTGCATGAAAGTCGATTATGGTGCAGCAACAGAATAGGACCCCGTGCACTGGCAGTACTGCACATCTGGCATGCCTTTGGACAATGCAATGCAACCTCTCGGTTGGTGCGGCAGGCGCTCAATGGCGAGGCAGGGTCAAGGGCAGAAAAATAAAAGCATGTGTGTTGGCCCGTGCGGAAGGATTCATCGTCGACGCAGCCTTTGTGAATGCTTAATGGTGGAATTGGACCCACCAAATAGTTCGAGTGTGCGGAAAAGAAAAACAACCTTGATGCATTCGCAAGCTCTTGCGGAAGGCCACCGTACAGTCGGTTTTCATGGAGGGTGAGGACATTCAAATTCGGAAGTTCCACAAGTCTTCTGGGCACTTCTTCAGTCAATGAATTTCTGTGTAGGGTCAGAACCTCCAAAGCACTCAAGTCGCTCAAGCAAGGCGGTATCGCGCGCAGGGCATTGCGATGCAAGTAAAGTGTCTTCAAACTATCACCAAATCCGAGTTTGCAAATCTCTGAGTCACGGATTCGATTGGCATGAAGCAACGCAACTTTCAAACGTGTCAAGTTTCCAGTGCTTTCGGAAATTCTTTCCAAAAAGTTGTCGTGCAACGAAAGCATTACCAACCGCGTCATGTTGCCAAAGCCTGGCAAAGCTCTTAGGCGGTTCTTGGCAGCTCTCAGTACCACCAAGTTTTTTGCGCTCAGGTGAGGAATTGACGTTAGACGATTAGAATCCAATTGCAAATTAAACATGTGCAATTTGTCCATGGACTCAGGCAATGAACTCAAACGGTTGGAGTTCAAAGTCAATATTTCCAAATGTGTCAAGTTTCCAATAGAATCAGGAAGCGCGGACAGCTGATTGTTGTCCACATGCAGCTGTTTGAGGCTCTGCAACTGTGAAATGGACTCAGGCAAAGATGTGAGTTTGTTTGATTGTAACCGAAGCCTATGGAGTGATTGCAACTCCCCAGTCGAATCAGGCAATGACGTGAGCTGGTTGTTGTCTATGTCGAAATACGCCAGCGATCGCAACCCCCCTAATTCAAACAGCTCAGCCAACCTGTTGGACCCGAGATTCAGAAACATGAGCCGCCGCAACTGTCCAACAGACTCCGGCACGACTGTCAGTTGATTTGATTTCAGGATAAGGTCATTCAGTGACTCCATCTGTCCAATAGAATCAGGTAGTCTGGTCAGGTTGTTGTTCCGCAAGTCCAGATCCGATAGAGATCGCAACTGTCCAATGGAATCGGGCAAAGAAACCAACTGGTTGGAGCGTAACAGGAGGAACTTGAGTGATTGCAGTTGCTCCACTGCATCTGGAAGTGAAGTCAGCCAATTTCCGCTCAAATCCAGCAATTTCAATTGCAACTTCCAAATCACAGGAGGTATTTCAGTCAATAGATTGTCGTTCAAAACCAACACCTCTAGAGACTTCAGCTGTCCAATTGACTCGGGGAGCGAAGTGATATTCAGCCGTGGGAAAAATAAATGGCTGACAGTGCTGACAGTGTGGTTATCGCAGCCCACTTGACGAAGCGCGCATGGATCTTTTCCCTCCCAAGGGAGGTTGGCTACTTGAAACATCTCGCGCAAGGCTTCCACTTCCGCACTGGGCAAACTCGCAAAAGCAAGGTGGAGAGACGATAAACCAATACAAAGAAGCCAGCAACTTCGGCAAATCAACATGGCTCGGGCACACATCTCTAGGTCTTCTTGTCCATCTTGGTTTGGACATGATCACGCCACTTAGACCGATTAACATCGATTCACATTGATTAAGATCGATTAACATCAACAGTTTCACATACCATTAGCGTCAACGAAGCGGCTATGACTCGTCAGTCATACTAAATGTAGTGTGTTTAGCGGTGTCGTGTTGTTCACGCGGACTGCCTGAATGACTAAAGACGACAGCTGCAAAACAGCTGCAGAACCACTGATCATGATAAGATCATGTTGCTGTCGGCAAGAACCCAAGGCATTCGGACTTGAAACCGTGGCCTGCTAAGGTCACAGCCTTTGAAATCTTTGAGAGCCAGAATGTTTATTTGAACAGCGTGTGTGGTTGCTCAGGCAACAGTACGAATGCGGCCCTCAGAGTGTCCACAGAATCAGGGCAACAAGAAAACAATATATGAAAACTATGAAAATGGTTTACATCGCATAACCGCAATTCAAATCTGCACACCGGGAAGGCCTGCAAAACCACAACCTCTGGCAAATTCGATACGGAAATATGATGGAATCGTGCTTTGTCAAACAAGACAAAAGATACATGGAGATTCCATAAGGGTTCTCTTGATTAAAGTATATTGAAAAGTATTGAAATTAAATGTCCATTGGTAGTTTCAACCTGACTTGTAAAATCTCATAGTCGGGTGAAATGATCTTCCCAGTACCGCTGAGAATTCATTCAGCAAACTACCCACAAGCTCAAGTCTTAGGGTGTCAAACCACCTACCCAGCCTTAGATAGCAAACGCCTATCATCCACGTGGGGGATCAGCATTTATCAGATTTTAAGGCCATCAATGACAGCTGCGTGAGACATCGTGAGACAGTTCACTGAAGCAGTGCTGAATTTTGGAATAGGTTCAAATTTGAGCCCCTGGTGAATCAAACTATCCGCGCTTGCTGCTCAAAAGGTGTTGGCTACATACTCACAACCTGTTGGGAAGGCATGTCCATCATCGTTGGTGTATCTGCTTTTGGTATCTTCATATATCTTCCTCAGCTCCATACCTCCATGCCATTCCATGCCCATGGATGAGTCAATAGGTGGATACGCTGGTCCCACCTTGGTCACCTTGGTCCCCAACCTGTTGATGTTTCGCGTTTTCACCTCCACTGAACCTCCATTTCCCGCCAAGTTGTTCCCGCCAAGTTGCGCGGGGTCGTTGCCTGGAGCCCAACATGACTTCTCTCAGTGGAGAATTATCCAAACCACTCAGAGTCAACAATCCAAATCCCAGGTCGACAGGTGCCTTTTTGTGTTTTCGGATTTTCATTTGCTCAACATTTTCGCAGATCCTTCTGATGCACAAAATGCCACAACAAAATGCCACAGGTGAGATTCGCCCCTACACAGCCTCCCAGTTCCAGCAGCACGCGCTTGAAGCCGTTGTTGGCACAAGCTTCCATGACCTGGACCCCAGATCCCAAAAGTGTAAAGAATCAAAATCATCCAAAAGCATCCACCATCCGAAAGCCCTAGCTTTTCATGAGCTTTCCAGGTGACACCATCCATTTCCAATTACTGTTGTTCAATTTGTCCAAAGTTTTTACCATGAATTTGTCCCCAATCCGTGACGGTGACGTGCCTTGCTGCCAATGGCCGTGGAGCCAGTGAAGACGACCTTCCGCACCTGTCGAAACTCTCGGATAACCAATGGATAACCAATATAGAAAATCAATGAAAATCAGATACGACTCATTCTCCGAGAGTTTATATATACAAAAATACATCAAGGACTAAAGGACTCAAATTCAATCAATCGTTCATGAATGTTTATTCAATTGATTTCGTTGCTGGTAACATTCTAAGATCCTGTGAATTGCGTTTATATCCATATATGAACAGGTGATATACGCAAGAAAACCATGGAAACCATAGAAACCGTGGTCCAAATTGAACATTCCCAAACTGACCCACTGACCCATGGACGAGGTGCTAGTTCGTTGCGGGTCAAGATCTCTCCTGGCCTGGAACGGCGAAAAACTGGGGGTAGAACGGTAGAACCCACAATGGATGGATCTTTACAACAAAAACACCTATCGGACCAAAAAAGCCAAACAAAAAATAGTTCAACTGAGATGAACATGAACAAATCTATTAAATCTATGGCTTTGTTATGGCTGCTTTGTTGATTTGCTTTTGATCCATGCCCGCGCTGGCTCAAATCCATAAAACTGCTGAAAACTGCTTCTACAAAAGTCAGATACCCAGGCACTGGATTTTTGGCGGTCTGCTCTGCATGGTTCCAGCTCTGAAAATGTCAATCTGAAGATCGTCTCAGAGATACCTTGCCTGAGCCCCACGTTGTCGGAGCCCACCACGACGTTCAACACTCCTGGTTCAACGAACAGAGATGGCATGAGGGTGTCCAGGGTTCGGTACGTCATAACGACGACGGGGTCAAAGTGATAAATTGATCTTTTCATTTCATGAAAACACATCAGCTGTACCAATGGAGGTGTGTAAATAAGGTTTTAAGCATGGAATTGGGATGTACACTTGTCCGTTATGCATACAGTGCACGAGAAATCTTAACCACTAACCACCTGTACGTTGCGCTCATCCTGTGTGATCTTCACTCATCATTCCAGTACGTCCAGTAGTATGTGATGATTTCGTCAAATGCCGAACTTGTTGGCTCCACCAGCTTCCAGAAGCGAGGGAATCTAATCCAACTGAATCTGATCTGTTTCTATTATTTCTATTCCCTCTTCCTGGCTCCCATTTCTCGATTTCCTCAAAATCGCCACTGGTTAGGGGCGGGTTAGTTACCTTTCCCATGTTTCCCACTGTTCAAACATCTTCAAATCACTGCTGAAATTTCTGACGCCCCTCCTCGCGGCAGGATGGGGCGCAAGAGCTCACCGATGCGCAGCGTGGTCAGCGGCGTCTGAGGTGCAGGTTTCAAGACCACCTGGACGATGCTCAGATCAAAGCCATGAAGCCATGAAAACCATGAAAAATGGATGGTGAACTTTGTTTGGACTCAATTTTCCGGAAAAAAAATGTGGAATTAACTCATTGAACCATGAAACATATCGGGAAATTCACCTTGAACAAGACGAGGAATTGACTCAGAACTGGGGGGCTGTCAAACCAACCGATTTATTGGGGCGTTGTGGGATGTTTCATGGGATATATCAACACTATGAAATGGGGTTCACCAAGAAAAAACTGAGGTTCAACATCAACCAGTCATCAAAAATTGGTCACACCCATCCAACACAAATGTGTTTCCCATCCCTGGTTTTTTCTTTCAGGAACCCTTGGTTCCCCCACCGTGTTTCCGCACGCCAGAGCCGTGGCAGTGGGCTTCCAGCCCAAAACAATGGGCGCATTCCAGGGCCTCACAGGCCGGTTTTTGCCTTGAGACAAATGTGTATGTATATATATATACACACATTTATGTGTTTGTTTATTTATTTATTTATGTATTGACATATTGTTGCATATTGATATGTATTATTTATATGTGTATATCTTTCATCGAATCCATGGTGAAATCCAGGATTTTGTTCACCACTCATGAAATCACAGTTGGTCTTGAGAACTGGAGCATTTCCAGATCCAAGCTGCGCAATCACTGCAACTACACCCAGGGGCATCCGGCGAACCACCACCTGCGAGGGACGGAGGGCAGTTCTCAGCTGGGCGTGATGGTGAAAAAATGTGAAAAGATCAAAAGATCCAAAAATATGAAATTACAAAATCCCCCAACTATTGAAGATATCATCTTGCTCAATCCTTCAATGGTGACTTCTGAAATCACCACGACAGGACACTGCGGCAACTAGTAACTAGTGGGATTTCAATCAGCAGTTGGGGATATCACCAACAAACTATGCGATATAACCAACATGGGACCACAGACTATTGTGGGCACAATTTGAAAAACCAGAATGGCTTGTCGTACTCAACCGACAGTCAGCTGGCCAGTGCTGTGCTGCTGTGCCTTCTTCTCCTCATCCTCGGAGATCACACGTTCCTGTGGGAAAAAAGTGGTGGAAAATGATGTAAATAAGCGCTATACAATGGGGGTTGGTGAATCAAACAAAACCATGCAACAAGACCTACATATATTTGGAAAGCCAATCACCACTCATCATTCGTCAGATTCAACCTGGCACCACAACACCCTGGCCTTGTTGATATCAAGAAATCCTCAGTGGCTGAGCTGTTCAGAGTGGGAGACGGGCAGATTGGGAGAGTTTCTGCCGGAGTTTGGAAAGATCTTTGGATGTAAAATTGTTAAACAACAAACCAGATTTTGGGGAGTCAAAACCCAAGGATCATGACATCCTGGCAACTGTTCCTGCTGTTCCTGGCATCCCCAAGATTGGGGGGATACAGGTTTTGGAATCATTTTGGGCAATGGATGCAGCAAAAACTTCTTGAACCCAAAGAATCGATCTTCTAATGCCAAGTATGACCAAAGCTGTTCCTTTGACATCCTATTTGACATTCCAAAACCATATGCTCTCAACGCATTTTGAGTCAAGACTCTCGCTGCATTTTCAAAGGTGGCTGCCGCTACAAGCACCTGCAACTGAAAATATTTCCCACAGCGGGCGGTTACGCAGCAAGGCCAATTTTCATTTGCATGGGGAGGTGCACCCCAAAAAGGGTTCCATGTGATACTTCTGCGCGAGGTGACATCAACGAAATCCAAAAATGACGTCCATTCAACGCAAGTCTCTAGTCTTGCTTTAACCAAACACGGCACCAGTGCCAATGCAATGCCGTGATATTGGCCATGCAAGTCGCAAAGGCATCCTAAGTTGAATTTCAAATCCCAAGTAACCCGCATGACCCTCGATATGATGTCAGAGTGCAAAGTTGCCTAATATCATGAGACAAGCCAAAAACAGATGCTAAACATTAATCCCTGCACCATTTCCCAAAGCATCTCCAATCACCAATCTGGGGACACGCCACATATGTCACATATCCAT